TCTGGAGGGATCCACTGCTGGAGGTGAGTGGTACAGCACAGTGGCCCACAGGAGAGGGAAGAGCTGTCACCTGCCTTGGCAGTGGGAAAGGTGCCATGGGCTGTGAATGGCATAGATGGCCCAGGTTTGGTACAGAAAGCCAGTGCTGGGGCTGTGAGCAGCCAGAGGCAGCTGCACAGGGCTCACAGGCAGCAGAGGGTCACACGGTGCTGCGTTGGAGGAGCCCCGGAGCTCAGGCATTGGTGCTGATGCTGCCTGCTCTGGTCACAAAGGCAGCAATCCCATGGCCGGCCAGTGCCAGCACACACCAACCACCTGTGGCAGAAAGCATGGCCGGCTGTTAATGTGGAGAAAAGCAAACACAAAACCACGGTCCTGCTGGTCTGCCCCTTCCCCACCATGTGATTGCACAAGTTGTTCCTCTTGCATACCAGAGAGGGCAGCCACCAACCAACCCATACTGTGATGGCTTTGTTGTTTTATTTTTTTTTTTTAATTCAAGTCTTACACTTGCTATTAAGTTTACACTTTATACTTGATGGAATGTATGGCTTTGTTCAGGACACTGCACTACAGTGTTGCAGTACTTTCAGCAGTTCTCTGCCTGGCACAATGTATTTTGATAAGTTTAATTTTAATTGGAAAAAAAACCCACCCACCTCTAACCTATCTTGCCCTCTGTCCTAAAGGAGTGGACTCTGGCTTGACTAGCACTTAAGCTTGGAATACCTGCACGTAAGGGCTTGATTTTTATTGTTCTTAATCTAACCTTTTAAAGCAGCATCAAATAAATAGAAAAAGCACAGTAATTGATATTGAAGGAGAGGCAGGAGTGGAATACACTTTCCAGTTAGTTCTCTTCTACTTCAGGTATTTGCTGGCAGTGCAGTCAAATGAACTGTGATAGTTTTGTTCAACAGTAACCTTCTGTACAGGCAGAAAAAACAACTCCAACATTTCTGCTTGAAAAGCTGTAAAATATAATCTGTTTGCGTGGGTCTGATCCTGTGAACTTCACTGTATGTGTTTATATTGATGAGGAAATGAAAATCAGTCCTATTCTGTATTTGTACTACTGCTTGTTTGCTACAATAGCTTTAATGATTTCTAGAGATTAAGTATGTGTTGAAGCAGGCCCTGTAGCTTTACCTACAGCCTGGAATAGGATTATTGCCTTTTATTCAAGCCTCCTAAACAGCGTCACTCTGTTAGTAAACCATTTTTAAGTCATACTGGGACTTTGTAACCCATCAAGTGGATCTCACGAAGTGATGTGAAGTATAATTAAGTGATTGTGGCTCTTTTGGTAGGTTTGGGTAAGCACACAAAACACTGGTACACCTTCCATATCTGCAATTTGCCATTACTGTTACACAGAGAAAAAGAATCACCTCTGACTATTATGGGTATTATGACAACACAACAGTTCTAATCGCATCCTCAGAAATGAAAAGCAAACTTCAACTTTTCCATGTTTACAGGCAAACTGCTATGGCAAACAGCGCGTTTCTAACACTAGCTTACAGAGCATTATTTTGCAGTCATCTAGTTTGAAGTCAAATCTTACTAATGTGTACAGTAATTCCTGTTGTACAGAAGTTAATCTGTTGTTTAAAATGAATGGTTAAAAGAAGTGCAAATGACAAATACATGTTGGTGTTTGTATGGGTTTATCTAGAATAAAAGCATTTGGAGGTTAGTTTGATTGTGTACTTTAAAATGGTTACAAGAAAGCAAACACAGCTGGTAACAATGCAAGAAATTGAGTGTAAGACATGGGGTGACATTGGGTGAGAAATAGTGCTGCAGCTCCAGCCCTGCAAGGCTCCAGGACGGGGCCATGCAGGTCAGCACAGCACACTTCCATCACACTGAAACTGGGAGGAAGAAGAGTAGGAAGGTAGAATACAACATCTGATGATGCTGGGGAGGGGAGCACTGGCCTAAACTCCACCTCCTGCAGAGCCTGAATGGAGGGGGATTCCTTGGGCTGGAGGGTTCCCAGCTGCCTTCCCACCTGTGGGAAGAAGCAACAGGCGAGGGACAGGCTGATTGTACAGTGCCTGCCACACCTCCACACAGCCTTCAGGATTTGCATTTCAACTGCACTGCTTAAAGGCTCTGAGGTTGATGATACTTTTAAAAAGCTAAAAGTGTTAAAAAGGATGATAACCCAATAATCCTTCTTTCAGGAGAAGGTGCACAAGGGACAGGAAATAAGCTTTCATGCAAAAAAAACTGAGACAAACTGAGAAAGACAGCCCACAGACCAGGTGCTGATCATCATTTTTCCTCCTGCTATTACCCTTTTTCTGCCTTCCAAGTGTTACCTGGTTTGTATAAACTTCTCCTGCCCCCTGACATCAGAGAGTACCTTGCTGACACAGCCGCAGCCGGGGAAACACAAAGCTGCCGACAGCTGTGCTTTGCAACCATTGCATGTTGGTAGATACTTGTGACCATCCCATTTGGTGGCCCAGGCACAGAGAGTTACTTTGTACACATTTATACTGTAGAAGGCAGAAGAAATAGCTTCTGTTACTTCTAATAGCTACATTGTTTTCCTCACAGAAGTTTAACAAATTCCCCAAGAAAGAGCATGCCTGGTTCAGAAATGGTATTGCCCACTTTAGTGCTCCCACTGACACACTGGAAACCATGCTCTGCTCTCCCACGGCCTCGACTCCTCTCCCTTGGGGCAGCATGGAGAGGAGAATTGGAGGCAGAAAAAGTAAAGATAATTGGTTGAGATAAGAACAAGTTACTGGAAACAGCAATGAGATAAGAAAATTATCAGTAACAGCAACAGTACTAATGACAGAGGGTAGAAGGGAGGCAGATTCACATGTGATTTCTCACTACGTGGAGCCTGGCATGCTGCATGACCCAGAAGGATCCCCTTCCTCTGGCCCTAGACAATGTGGTGGTGTAGAATAACCCCAGCTCCCAGCCATGGCCCCCCTGGCTACTGCAAAAATTAACCCTGTCCCAGCTGGAACCAAGAGAAATCCTTATATTTACACACTATGGAAAATGAAAAATGCAGCCTCTGGAGAGAAGAGTTGAGTCAATGCCAGTGTCATTCTGTCACTATTCCTACAGTCTAACAGCAATACTTAATAACCTATTACAAGAGATTGCACAGTGTATTCTCACTGTCCTGTATTTTTGTTGCAGTATTTTGAAAGCAAGCTAAATACAAACAAACAAAACCCAGATAAAAAAAATTCCTACAATTGCAGGAAAGTCATCATTATTGGATTATTGGGTAAAAATTGTAGCTAAATAATTGATCCTTCACAAATTTCTTTTACTGGATTGATAATGAACTGGAAAAAAAATCAACCTAGAATAAATATTTTTGTTGTAGTAAAGTTAAAAAATTAGAGTAGGAACAAGTACAGACTTGCATTTACATAATGTGAAGGCAGTTTATACTAATCTCTGCTATATTATATTAAAAAAAAATTGCCTATTCTCATGATAGAAATACAAGAAACACACTGTCAAGGGTAGCAAATAGAAGTTTCAGAGCTTTTAAAATTTCATTCTATCCTTTTTATGTGCATCAAAATACCAACCTAGATGTGGATTACAGCATTGTTAGTGATCAAAACTGCAACCCAGAGTAGGATACATTAACTTTTAGATTGAAGGAATAAGACAATATTATCAAGTGTAAAAGGATTTATAAAAAATTGTTTTAAATTTTTATATTAAATGTCAATTTCATTTTAAACAACCCAAACCTTGAAGAACAATTTTCAAAAATTTCTTGTGCTGAGATTATTTAATGTTTTGACTTTATGGAAAAATACTGAAAAACAAACCTTATCAGGAAGGAGTCTTGGCAATGGTTCACAGAATCACAGAATGGTTTGTGCTGGAAGGGATCAAAGATCGTCCGGTTCCAATCTCCCTGCCATGGCCAGACCCACCTTCCACCAGTACAGGTTGCTCAAAGCCCCATCCAACCTGGCCTTGAACACTTCCAGGAATGGGGCATCCACAGCTTCTCTGGAGAACCTGTTCCAGTGCCTCACCACGCCCACAGGGATTTCTTACTACTATCTAAACCTGCTTTTTTTCAGTTTAAACCCATTGCCCCTTATCCTGACACTCGTTGGACATAGAAAAGGTCCCTCTCCTCTTTATAGCCCCCTTTAGGTACTGGAAGAATAATGTCTCCTGGAAGCTTCCTTTGCCCAGCTGGCCATGCTGCTTTTGCTGCAGCCCAGGATGTGGTTGGCCTTCTGGGCTGTGAATACACACTGCTGGCTCATGACCAGCCCTTCATCCATGAGAACTCCTTCTCCACAGGGCTGCTCTCAGTGACTACTTTTCCATCTATACTCACATCTGGAATTTTCCCTACCCAGATGTAGCACCTTGCACTTGGACTTGCTGAACTACATAATGTCCCCATGGGCTCACTTCTTGATGACATCCTTTCCTTCTGTTGTGTCAACTGCAGAGCTCAGCTTCCAATCACCAAACCTGCTGAGGCTGCTCTCAATCTCACTGTCTGTCATCAGTGCAGGTACTGAAGAGCAGGAGTCCCAAGAGTGAGCTCTGAGGGACCCCACTCATCACCATCCACTACCTGGACACAGAGCCATGGACTACAACTCTGGCTGTGTCCATCCAGCTGATTCCTTATCCACTGAATGGCTATTCATCCATCACATCCATCTCTCTTCAATCTGGAGATCAGCATGTCATGTGGGACCATATCAAAGGCCTTACAGAAATCTAAATGATGACATTTGTTGGTGTTCCCCTGTCGACCATTGCTGTGACTCCATTATAGGTGGCCATATTGCTCAGGCACAATTTGCCCATAGTAAAGCCATGATGGCCACCTTGGCTGCCTTTCCTGTCTTTTATTTGCCTCAGCACATCTTCTAGAAGGATCTGCTCCATAATCATCCCAGACACAGAGGTCAGGCACACTGGTCTGTAGTTTCATGGTTCATCATTTCTCCTCTTTTTAAAAATGGGAGCGATGTTTCCCTTTTTCCAGTCACTGAGGACAGCACCTGATTGCTATGACTTCCAAATCCAGCAACATCAGCCAGTTCCCTCAGGACCCTGAGATGCACAGCATCAGGTCCTACATATTTGTGGCTATTCAGCTTCACCAAATCATCCCAAACCTGCTCTTGGCTTAGAGTGGAAGGGACTTAACTTCCCCCACACATGCCCAGAGGAGCGGACACTTGGGAGAAGTGGGAAGTCTAGCGGACCAGAAACAAACTGTCCACAATTGAATCCCAATACTGAGCCTTAACTGCTGCTATGCTAAATATCACAGCACTGGTAACATAAATTCAGGGTGGAGCCCTCTCATGAATGGCAACTCTGCTTATTCTTTTTATGATTCCCAATGCAAAAAGGTACTTTTGTCCTTAGACCCAGCAGTTCAACAATTGAGCCACAAATGGGTAACTATGCAGAATATATTTTATGCTATTCAGGCACATACAACCATGTTTTTGGCAAGATATGAAAAGCATGTACAAAGGATAAGTTATTGAAAGCTAACAGCATCGAGTGTGCAGATTTTATTTGGAGTCCTCACTTTGTGCTTCATCTTCTCCAGTGATATTATTTCTTGCCAAGTCCCTGTACTCCACCATTACCCGGTCCCTAGATGGTCCAAGATCTTCTAGCTGTTTTCTTTGTCTGGTTTCTAGTTCTTCCAACCGTTTGCCAAGCAGGGCAAGCTCTCTTTGATGCTGCTCCTCCTTGAAATTAAAAGGAAAAAAAAAGTGGCTCTATTACATTTTGCACACTTACAAGGGACCAAAATGAGCAATACATTCCTTTTCTTTAAAGGAAAATAAAAACTGTAAAGTCCAAAACATCCTTATTTGTTAAATTTTACTTGTCAGTGTTTCGTGGGTATTGTTCTGACAGCCTTGATAAACAGCATCAGGAAGAAATACATTTGCAGCTATTCCTCCTCTCAGATGAAGGAGCACACACATCTGAGGTCTCAGTAACCTTGGATCTGTAAAGTCAACTTGGTCAACCTCAAGAGAGATTTTCACCCTCAGCAGCTCAGCCTAAGGCACTTTTAACCACACAAGAAATCAAAAGCAGCAATACTGCTTTGTAATAATGAAACCATGGTGCGAGAACAACATTAGCATTTCTTGCTCAGAAGGAGCCACTTAAAGCCTCTGAGAGGAAGGATAAAGTATGGAGAACTGGCTTTAAACTACTTGGTTGTTCCATTCTGTAACATATTCTTTGTCTTTCAAGTACTCCTTCCTATTTCGAGGAAGGGAACATCTCTAGATAACTCAAAATTTCTTACTTCTGTTCAAAGATGAAAAACACCTTCCTTAAGACTAAGGTCAGTAAAAAAGGACCCTCTTTTGCTGTATTATTTTCACAACTTGCAATATATCACCACCTGAAGAAAGGAGAAGGACGCTGCAGGCCCAGGAGGCAAGGCAGACAATGGCGCAATACCGACTGGATTGAGTGACGGTATGTCAGGATTCAGAATTATACTCCGGAATTCATTGTGCCGACGTTGCAAGTCCTTTAGCCTCTTCTGGAGGCGAGCATATTCTTCAGAGGAAACATTCTGTCTAAGAAATAACAGATTTCTTATTGCTCAAGATCCTTGTTATCCCAACACAGCAGCACAGCTCTCCATGTTTCTCTGCTGTTTAAACACCCCCCCAGTTTCTACCTATCCTTACCTAGAAGAATTGGAATGTAGATCTGTGTATGTTCTTTTGCCTACATGTCTGTCTAAATGTCCCTCTACATATTTAGCTCTCTGCTCTATTACAGATTAGAGTTCATTTATAAAATAAATTAACCTTTCAATATCATTGACAGTAGTGAGTCAGAGAAGACACATTAAATTAGTTATTCAAATCAAGCCCTCCACAAAGGCTCAGTGAAGAGAGAAAAACCAGGACTTCATCTTTCAAAGAGGACGCCACGTCTGTTTCTCTTGCAATTCTGAAGTTTTGTTCACTTTCTTCTTTTAAAGGGATTCCTGCAAATGTTCCTATCAGATATTTTGCCTCTTTTTCTTCTTGAAGAGACAGCCCTGCAGTTGTCTCATAAGCTCGCAGCTGCCCATCCTAAACAGAATCTATTCAAAGAATTCTAGTGCTGTAAAAGCCATTAGACTGGACGCTGGTCACTAATCTAGGTAACCTGTATCTTCAAAAATACTTCATATTCCTAAGTCATATCTTGAGCATATATAATTTTTCAAGGTAAGAAAAAGCAAAGTTTATTACCTATTTAACACTTGATTTTCTTTTTCTAGTTCTTCCATCTTGGCTTCCAAAAGTTCTATTTTCTCACTCATCCTCCTTTGTTTATTGTCATTGAGAGTCTTTCTCTGTCAAACAGATGTTTCAAACAGCTGAGTAATACCTCAGTAGATTAGATCCTGTAAAAATTTAATCTAAACAGTATGTAGTTTTAAGCTGTGACACTATAGGATTTTCCTTCCTTAAGGAGAGATGTTGTGTTGTTTGAAGGTGCTTAGATTGCCACGCTGGGAAGAAGAAGAGATGGGAAATGATCCATAGTTGTGAATGAAAGAGGCAGAGCTGCCAGTCACTCACTGGTCAGTGACCAGCTGTACTAACAAACGTTCACAGTATCTGAGAATCACAATAGTCATCCTTTAAATGACCACGTATAAATGAGTATAAGCATAACCAAAAAAGTATGCTTCCTTTTTTTTTTTTTTTTTTTCTCCTCATCTTAATCTTAGCTTTTCATGACCTTAAGAGATACTGGTAGGTTTAATAACTTATGTTCAATGTATAACACCACTAATTAATCCTGAAGTTTTACAAACAACTTGCCTTTCCTTTCAAATTATTTCATAAAAAGTAAGCTTAGGAGAAGAAATAAAATTTTAATACACCACCAAGGAAAAGTAGAACATCATTTGTCTAGTATCTGAAGCATCATCCTCCCTCATCAAGGGGTTCACCTCTTAAATAACCATCAATGCACACATGTGCAAACAAAGTCTCACAAAATCTTTGATGGCATTATAACTAAGTTGTCAGCTGTAATATTCTTTTGCATGTCACTTCAACCTATTTCTATGCTGATCTTGAAGAACCCAATCTATTTAATTATTATATATAGTAGAGGGCAAATAAACTTAACATTGAAACAATTCTAGCTGGCCAACATAAAGTTGAACTTTACACAGTCTGGACCATTCAGAAAGGAAGAGACAACATGCCTTTTTCTGAGCAACGGCAGCTCGACATAGCTTGTTCTTCATTTGCTTGTATTTCTCTTCATACTCTGTGATGTGCTGAGTAAGCATATGCTTCTCCTGCAGCCATTCCATACGTTGGTATTCTGAAGTCCTGTGGAAAAATCAGGTTAAAAGATTAAGAGGTTATACAAAGCAGCACAAGTTAATGCCTTAAGGCTCTTAAAACAGATACATCTTTTCACAACTCCTAATTTTATACACTTAAAGGATCTGATGTAAATTTGATTATGTTAACAATTTAATTGTGATGACAACATTTGAACCTGTACATTATCCTAGGATTTCTTCAACCATGACATAAATTTTGAAAACTGATTCCAAGAAGCTAATTGTTGGTGCCTTGTTGGATTGGCATGCTGCCAAACCGCCTAGAGAAAATTCTTCAATTCAAGTCAATCCATCACAGTGAACACAAGAGCAGATGCCTATTCCCAATATCAGTTGTCATAATAGTTGACATAAGTGCTGCCCTATGGGATCTACTAAGTCTTCGTAACAGACTTGCTTAGGACATGTTCCCAACCAGATCAAACACCAGTTCAACAGGAAACTCGCAGAAATATGGTTTCTAGACAACATTCCAGCTGAACACACATCACCAATGGCATATATTACCTGTTTAGACTTTTGCATGGTTACAACACTAAAATAAGGCTGTGTTCTCTAGCAGTGTACAGGAAAGGAGCCAGTTTCTCTGTGCTGCCTTATTTGTTTGGGCGACTTGCATTGTAAGTCAAAGCAGAGAGGAACTAGTGGCATATTTAATTACATTACTGATAAAAATTAAAATAAAATGGTGAGATTCTATGTAGCAGATTATAAGAAAATTAAGGCTTGGTATCAGCACATCCACAGTACTCCAGTTCTGGGCAGATGCAGTTTCCCTACAGGGACTCTGAATGCATCTCCATAAATTTCTCACCAAACCACCTCTCCCTTCCCCACAGTAGAAGTGCTGGGCATCATCTACTCTCATTTGGGAAACAGAGTTCTGGCCCATGTGTCACCTGTCATGGCTCTTTTAGTAGACGTAGCATGGCTTGTACCTCACTCTTGATTGTAAATAACCACTAGCACCCAAGAACCAAAACACTCTGGGCAAGCACTGCTTAGCAGTAAAAGGATTTCAGCTGAGGCAGTGGTTGAAAATGCTTGAGGTGGGTGTGAGGGTTTCTTGAGGTATTTTGGGGGTTGTTGTTGTTTATTTTGTTTAAATGTCAGTAACATTGTTCCCAAAATGTGAAACAAATAACTGTTTGAGCTCATCTCTGATCTGTATCAATCTTATAGTTTGCCTTCAGCTCTTTTTCTCCTTTCACATTTTCATTTCCAAGTTTAAGATTGACACAGCCAGACATGCAGCTGCTGCTCAGTGCTGAACTGGTACAACTTTATTTATCTGAAACTTTTTATCTTATGTTTTCTCATCTTTTGGTCCCTATTTCACTTCCTCTTGCTTTGGTGCAACTTAACTCTTTGGTGTTCAAGTTCATAAGAATTTACTGAACTGGAGAAGGATGTCCCATCACTCACAGATTCACATAAAAACAATGGAAACATGACCCAAAGCTCCCAGGGTAGCAATGGCACAGAGCTGCAGGACGTAGAAATGAAGCAGGTTTGTAGCCTGATTGTATCAGCCTTAGTGCATTTCTCAGTACCTACATACTTGTACAATGATCTCTGAGGACTGACAAGTTCCTTCCACTGTCTTTCTAGAAAAACCTACTCCTGACTGTTTCGTGATCCATAAATATGTAAATAACAATGACAGTCTCATTCAAATAACAGCAACGATCTCACTCAACATGCGAGTACACCTCCTTAAAGCAAACATGCAAAGTATTTAATGTGCTAGTGACGTACTCTGCAGTTCAAATGCAACAATCTCTTCAAATGTTAAACTGAAAAGCACTACTTAAACTAATGACAACGTAGCAATTGCAGTACCAATTTGCAGCAAAAGAGATGTTAAAACAAAATTAAGTTACATTATACCCTTTGGTAATTTTATATTTAATCTGGGACACTGATTTTTAAAGCATCCACCACACAATAATCCAACACAAGTTAGACAAATATTTGGTTACTGAACGAGGAAATTCTGAAAAGCCATTTCAGACTAACAAATCAATCTTTAAATTGCAGGAAAGTCTTCATTTCTATATGGGATCTGAATAAAATTTGGCTTCCTTCATCATTTATTGTCATATTTTGATGGTGTGCAAAAAAAGGACAGTGAGGATTTTTAATTTTGAGGAGAGGAACTAGAAGATATTCTATAAGCTTTTACTTACCTAATATTGGCTAAAAGTAGCTAGTGGGAAAGGGAAAGAAGTATTCACACATATGCTGACCATGGAACCTTATCATGTATAATACAATGCTTGAATGCTCTTTTCACCATACAGCTTGAACACTCTTAAAAGAACTGTCTGAAACTCTAGATCCATTTATACCTACAGAAGTTTGACACTCACTTCAGTATAAGTAGAATTTCATTTTATGCCAGTAGTGTATCACACAAATCAATAATTAATTTTAACAGTGGAATGGAATGGAAACTAACTCCTATTTTTAAAGCTGACATGAAGAAAGCTTTCATATACACCATTCCACAGAATGTTCAGCCGTTTTTTACAACTGTCCATTATTTCCTGTTCATTTTAACTTTGACTTTATTCAGAATCTACAGTCCACAGTTAAGTAATCTACGTGAGAACACAAGCCGTATGAAAAGTAAAGCCAAAAGAAAAAAATTACTTCTCTGTTTCCAGTTGAGCTTTCTCTGCCTGAGCCCTTGCATGTTGACATTCTTGTTTCAATCTCTCTATTATTTCCTTCAACTTCTGATTAGATTCCAGCAAATCATTTTCTGATTGAGAAAGTGAGGCAAGCTGTAGTTGGATATCATTTATTTGCTACCAAAACAAAAAAGATTTTTTTTCCATTTCAGAAGGTATGCAAATAACCAACAATTGATTTTGAGATACTGAGACAATGCAAAATGGAGACACCAACTAGCTTGAGCTTTTCATTAGCCTTTTTTATTTGTTTCTTTTCTCTTTACTCAACAGTTTCCCCAGAAGCTTTAGAGGAAACCACTATGATACAAAGGGTTTCTATTGTAGCTAAAATGAGAAAGCTAGGCAGGACTCTTCTGTCACTGAAGTGTCCCCCAGAACTTCAGAAACCCAATACTTCAGCTGCAGGGCTGAACAGAACTCGAGGACCATGAAATACTTAGTAGCAGAGCTGTGGAGTTATCCAGGCTCTTCTGTCTCATAATACACCACCATGTGTTACAACCAATAGTGACTGTACAAATCAGTTCACAAAACAAGGAAGCACTGAAAAGTCCAACCTCTGCAGCCAGCATATAGAAATTATCATTTCCCTTTCTTTTTCTTTCCCCCACATGGACACTTAGATCCCTCAATTTCTGATTTCTGGAGGAAAAAAATAATTGTCTTGAACTTCAAGTGCACACAGCTTGCAGAATACTTTGATGCACAGCTATTTTTATTATCTACTAAATAACATCACAGGCAAGCAAGAGTTAAAAAGAATAGGTTTGATTTTCAACACTGCCATCAATTGACTCTGCAATAGAAATATATCTCTTTACACTAGTTTGTTCATTTATGAAACATCTGTTAAACACTTGAAGAACCTCAGATGAGAGATGCAGTGTAAATGCAAAGCATTACCTAGAAACAATTTATAAGTCTCCATGGCAACTGAATCTCCAGTTAAATAGTGCATAACCATATTCAATAAACCAGTCTATAAACATTCAGCTTTGAAATTCTGGTAGCCACAAAACACATGAAGCAAAAAGCTGTAATCCATTTATAGAGGTCCAGGAAAGCACGATTGATTCCTGAACATTTCTCCTTTAAATATCTGAAGTACACATTTTGTCCCTCAGGGGGAAAAAAGCCAACTTAAAAATTCAATCTAATCTTCAAACACAGGACATGGAAACTACAGGAAAGAATGTATTTCTCTATAAAATATTACAATGCAATAAAACCTTACCTGTTTAAGATTAGCATTTTCACATTTCTTTTCTTCCAGCTCTTCTGTCTGCATAGCTTGCTGTTGAATTTTTAATCTAAAATTGTGTAAGACATCCTTATTTTTATCTAATCAAAATACAGATACTATAAATTAGGACAAATCAGCCTGACAAATAAATAGCATATTTGAAAGGCTGATAAATAGTTAACTAAAAAAGTACTTAAAATATATTTCTATTTATTCTTAGAATTCGCATAGGAATAAGACTCTTGGAGTATGATTCATTTTATCATGCTGACCTTCATACAAAAATTAGAATAAGCCAAGTAAACTCCCAACCATAATAACCAACTCAGAGACATCATGTTAGGATCCCAGCTTGCCAGTCGCTGCTGTAGTACCATTGTGGAAAGAGAAATGGTTTACTCTAACACTGGGGCTATGCCAGCAGCTAGCACTGAACCAGTTTTAACAAACGTGTATTGCAAAATTATTACTTCAAAACGGTCACTGAAAATAACGCTTAAAGGTTCGGATAAAAGTGTTATCTTCTCGAACAGCTGATTTTTAATTCTGCGCTCTGTTTTACATAGTGCAAAAGATAATTTTGTTTAATCTACTATAATGAACATTTCATAATGAAGATTTCTGTGTCTATGAATAGTAAGTTTTTATACTGTCTACGGTAAAGACATTAAGGGGGGAAAATGAGAAATTTGTGCTAAGATTAGAAAAGCCACGCTACCGTAAACGCTGAAGTTCCTTTTTGCTAGATTCTTCTGCCATCTGCACAGCACGTAGTTTCTCTTCATACTGATCCTTTTCAGATTGTCTCCAAGAATCTTGTTCTGTTTTCATCTTTTCTAGATCAGCCAATTTGTTCTCAAGTTCTAACCTAAGACATTATTCAACATGCACAAAAGAATCATTACAAAATGCCAGAAGAGTTAAGAGTGACATTTTTAAAAGTAACACAAAACAGTCCTCTTTTAGAAGCTGAGGAGGAAATCAATAGACATACTTTTCATTCTGTAAGGCTGCAATATTGTCAAAAACTTCCTCTTTGGCAGCTTGCACTTTACGAATTAGCTCCCGATCCTTTTCTACTAACAGCACTTTATGACGTTCAACAGCTGCAGTAAGGATTTCCTTGTCGGACAGCAGTCCTGCATTATACATTAAAAAAGTTAATCATGTCATTATTGATAAGAACCTGCTAGAATCCTATATTCAAATAACTTTATAAATTCATAAAGGGGAACTAAAAATCTCAGTTCAAATGACAGAAGGAATGGGGGAAGTGGAAAAAATCAAAACAAGAAAACCAGAAGAGATCTTTCTTAGTATAACAGTTATATCTCCAAGACTTCTGAAAAGTAACCATTACACTGTAATCATTCTCTACAAGAGTTTCTTTAATAAACAAAAGTAATTAAACAGTTGATATTATTACAGATTTAAACTCTAGAGCAATTTATACAAAGCACTTGTGTCTGAATTTAAAAATTTTAAAAAGTGTTCCACAATAGCTATGCAAGAGTCAAGCAAGAAAATTTTCATTTTCTGGAAAAGTTTACAGTAGACAGTAACTGGTTATCAGTGAAACCAGTAACTGGGCTACAACAAATTTCACATTTTAATCCACCAAATAAGGCATTTCTAAAACTATGACTCTATAGGCACGGACAAATGATACAAACTAAAATCTTGTGACTGACACCTGTGTTCTCTGGCAAATAAGCCAACCTGCTCTAACAGTGACTCCTGGTTATTTAGCTAACACAGTGATGCAAATGAAATTCCACAGGAAGTTCAGGATAACTTGAATCTTGTCTGTATTCAGTTTCATATTTCACAGGGCCCAACATTTTTAGTTTGCAATACACTGTAAGTATAGTATCAATACAGAAAATACCACTTTTTCGTTGCTCTTAGCAAACTTAAAGCAAGTAAACAGAAACAATTATTTCAGGAAGATAAAGGTATTCTTTTGGGGCTATGGTCAATCAGTGAGGACAGTTCTCTTTAAAGCTGTGTAGTGGTTTAAACACAACTAGTACTAGAAAGTTTTGGCCTTTTCACTCAAGAAAGCTATTTCAAGTTGCCTAAATACTCAGCTGCATCAGGTATTTTAGAGCAATGCCTGTTTCCTTCAAAGAATGAGCTAGGTACTGTATTTTGTTTCATGTGGCAGCCTTATGGAATTTGTATCAATTCCACAGACACAGAATCAGAAAACCTCCAACCACTGAAGCTCTGTGGCACAATAAGGTTTCAAGCAGAGTATGAAAGACTCAAAAATTTAACAATAATAGAAAAAAAAAAAAACCTATATGAAGTATATAATTTGAAACAGATTATGCTCAAGTTGTGTTACAAATGCAGTAATTTACATAAATGAAAAACTGCTTTTGATTGTTCTTTGCCTAGTAGAGCAAGTGAAACAATATAATTATTTCAAATTCCAAACGAATTGTCAGATCTATGACCTAGAAGTAGAAGGTGAAAGCTGCTGGAGAGTGTTCAGAGAAAATAATTGTATTATTCTAACTAGAAGTAAACAGATGAAATAATTACAAAATAATTTCATACTTTACCATCCATTTCACTTTGAATCTTGTTTCTCTCTCTTTCTATTTCACTCTTTGTTCTTGCTGCCTCCAGTTTGACATTTGTTACTTCCAACTTATGTGAATGTTTAAGTTCTTTTACCTATGAATTAGTAGAAACCGTCATCAAATTAACTACAATAAATTTGTATATATATACACTTCACTTCTGACTAAAGATACCTCAGAGTCAAGCTAAAATAAAATTAAATTTGATCTCTGTAAGCAAATCAAAACAGTGATATCCAAAGCCAGGATATCAACTGCTTTCCCAAGTAACTTCAATTTGGTAACTACTTACTCCTGGATTGCTACATTACTTTCTCAAAATCCAGGTTTTCATAGTTTTAAAGTGCATTTTAAATGTAATACTGCTCTACAGACACATCAAATGGCCTCATAAAAGTAGGAGCTTTAAGAACATCAAATCAAAGAAAATTACTGCTTGCATGAAAATTTTCTATAGTTTAGGCATTTGAATGCAGTAATTACACGGTCAATGCGAATTAAATATCTGGAGGAAAGCACTTATAATGAAAATCCACTCACAATGACAAATGTAATTACAACCTGCTAGCATATACAAGTGGCAAAAGGTTAAGAATGACACAGTAGCTTATTAAGTAACTACACAGAAGATTTAGTTGCTTATATATTAAGTTGTAACAATTCAGGACCACTTGAAAAGATTTAAGGTGGCTTTTTTAAGGCAGAAAATCCAGAAGACAAACACATGCACCTGTGCTCAGGAATAGGTTTGAGTGGGAGCAGAAGCAGGTGGAGGTTAGTATAGTAAAGCTTCTTATTTTCCTCCCTTTGAGAAACATCACTGGAACATTTTATTTTGTCCTGCTTCTGGAGGAGAGCAGAGAAGACCAGTTGATACAAAAAATAAAGACTGTAACAATCTTCTATGTATTCTGGGAGAAGACTAAAAAACGTTTAACAGAAGATTTCCCCTCCTCTTTAGCATTCATGGGAGCCAAGTATGGCCTATTATATACAAAGAGGTTTTAAATAGTGATATAGCTATATCTTATTCCTATGGTAAATTAGAACTTTTTAAATGAATGACCAAAATTTAATACTTAGAACTCATAAATATGCACTGTAAAAATGCTAAAAAAAAGAGAAATGCATACAAACATAGAACAAAACCTCTAGGATCTGGTGCCAACCCAACAAAGCTACTCAAATATGTTTTAAGACAATGGTCGACTTAAAATGCTGTGATGCAATTCTGTACTGAAATGTTTCTGTACAAGCTATGCTGACATTAGCCCAAGAAAAAGGCTATGCTCACATGACTACCCTACTTCTAAATCTCCACAAGTAACTCCAATGCAGCTTGCTTCCTGTAGCTAACACAGCCCATTCAAGGACACTTAAAATCTCCAGAAGCCATAGTTCCATAAAAAAAAAAAAAAAAAAGGAAGAAACATTAGTTTAAAGCTCTAAAGGCTGGCTGTTCTCATGAACATTAAAAACATTCAAGAAAAATATCTAGAAGATGGAATAGTAAGACCATAACCTCAATCTTTAGAGATACTCTTAGGTATGACATTTCTCCTGTAAAGTCATGTATTCTTTATCTTTCAATTGAAACTGAGGAGAAAATTCCATACCTATTTTAAGTCACAGCAGAAGACATTGTTACTTTATTCTTAATGTAAAATATAAGCAGAAAAACATAACAGTATGTGAAAAAATATATTTCATATATCATAAAACTACTTACTTGAGCAGCTAAGGAACTGACTTCTCGTTCAGATTTGTGAAGTTTGCTTGTTAAGAGAATGTTTTGCTCATGACTCGCCTGCAGTTCTTTCTCAATTCGATCAACCTGTAGTTCAGCAGACTTCTTTTCTGCCTTGAATGAAGGAAGTATTTTTAAGATTTTTGGAGCTGGGTTGCCTCTTGTTACTCATTTGAAATGTTTGATCTGGGCTTTCAGCTATTAATGACTCGTTATAATATATAATATAATATAATATATAAATATTCATCTTTGCTCAACCATATATTCCAGTACAACAAGGATCTTAAATTTTACTCAAAAGTCACAACAATTTTTACTAACACTTCCTACAGAGAATCAATCCCATTTTCAATCCTCCTTGATAAGGGGTGGTGGTAATCTGACTTGGTTAGGAGGCAGCAGGTGTGCTTACCAGTAAATTACAGGGCTGTAAACAGTATAACTACAAATGGTGCTCAAAAAGGTGTAATATGCTGGCCTATGCAGTTATACTAACAGAAGAAAACATCCTGGAGAGGAAATAAAATGCAATTACTGTATTATAGACTCTGATCTTTACAAGACAAGACCCTGATCTTTACTGAATATCAAAAAGGTAATTTAATATATGATTTCACCTTCCTTTTTCTGAACACTTCTATTTTTGGCAGGGCTCTCTTTAAGGCTGTCTAAGAAGATTACAACACTTTTTAAGTTGAGATCAGAGCATTCTTATACAGCACTGATAATAGTAAAAATGAAAATGAACCATCTATCTGCCTGCTGCAACTGTGCAAAGAATCTAGATTAAAAGGCTCACTACCTAAAGAGGTAGCGAGAACTGACAGAAGGTCTGAGGACCACAGATGAGGAATACAGTGGAATCCTGGGAAAAGTGCAACACACCAGAAATATCAGGGAGAGTAAGGGAGAGCAACAGCTAAGTACTAAAAAACTGCAGTAATGTGTTGGAGAAAGAAGAGGCATAGGTAAGCAAAAAATATGACAGATGAAAGGATCAAAGAGAGGAGCATCGTGTGACATTTTTGAAAAGAATAAAGAATTTACTGCAGCAGATTATTAACATATTGGTTTCTAACTCCAGCTACATGGCAAGTGCTGACATGACCTTCTTACTGACTATGAATATGGATATGACTCGCTTGTTTGGAAAGGAGATCATTCAGCAGAATCTCTCAGCTGAGACTTTCCAAAGTTGAACTGGCAGTGCATGACTCCCAGTCAACTACAATTTGATTTTAAATCTGAAATGTACAAATTCCAATTAATTGTGGAGTCAATGGCAAATTTATCAGTGATTTCAGTGACAACTGTGTCAGGCCAAGTGTTATTCTTACTACACTCTACAGGGAGGCAAAATAATAAAAGAAAGTCTTACCTCTAGAGACCGCATCATGGTCTGCATCTCAGCTAACTGTCGTGCTTGTACTCTTTGAACATTTTCTGCTTGCACAACACAGTTGTGTCTTTCTGCTCTTAGTTCTTCTACTTCTGCTTCTAATGCTTTTAATTTCTGACACAGTTGTGCCTTCTCTCTAGAAAGTGCCTCCACACGTTTACTGTCCCTTGTGGGATCAATGCTAAGCAGCTGATTATGAAGTTCTTCCTTATCTTTATCCAGTCTTGCAATCTAATAGTTGTTAATCAGAAAAATAAAATTGGGTCGGTGTCAGGCAGCAACAATTACAGCAGTTAACAATTCAGAAAAGAGCAGCAGTGGACATTTAAATTGTCATTTGCTTGGAGTAGGAAATTCAAAGCAAGACCACCTGATGCCTCTAATTAGTGTGGTCTTTTTGAGAACACTACAGAGTGCAATACTGTTTGATGTCCTCATTAGCAAGCTGGATGATATCATGGAGTCACTTTCAGCAAACTTGTGTGACACCAAACAGGGGGGAAATGGTCAATCTGTTGGAAGGCAGAACTGCTATCCAGAAGAATTTGGACAAGCTGAAGGAATGGACAGAACTGGGTCCTCTTCAAACAAGAAGGGCAAGTCATGCATCTGAGATGGAGTAACCCAATGCAACAGTACCAGCCCATAGCAACTGTCTAGGAAGCATCTCCATGGAGAAGGATCTGGGGGTCCTAGTGGACAACAAGCTAAACATTAGTCAGCAGAGCATGCAATTCAATCCTGGCAGATTGGCAGAAGGATAACTAGCAGATCCAGGAAAGCAATCCTTTGTCCCCCTTCCAGTACTGGTAAAGGTGTATCTGGAGTTTGTGTCAAGTCCAGATGGCCACTAAGAGTTCAGAGGGTTGGGGAACATGACACATAGGGAGAAGCTGAGAGAACTAAGCCTCAGCTCAGAGAAGAGAAAATGCATAGTGATGGGAAGAGAGGCAACAGGCACAATTTGGAACATGTGAAGTTCCAATTACGTATTATAAAAACAGTTTACCACAAAGATTATTAAATGCTGAAAGAGTCTGGCCAGAAAAATTATGGAATCCCCATCCTTGCAGATGTTCAAGACTTGGCTGGACATGGACCTGAGCAACCTGATCTCATTACATTTCAATATTTTAAGCAGGATTTTGGACTAGAAAGAATCTCTTTCAACGTACCTTATGATTCCACTATTTTATAATTACACCAGAACTCAAATCTGCTAAGAACTCCAGAGAGCCAACATGACTGGACCCCGACAGACAATAAACAAAAAACAACCAAAAAACCCAAACATCCCAAAAAATCCAAACCAAAAACTCAGTAACAACAACAAAAAACCCAGCTCTCTCTTACAAGGTAGTACAAAAGGTACAAACCAATCTGGAGAATGTAATTAACAAACCTATAGATACATAGATTGTTATATTTCAAAATAGGTTACATGGACTGAATAGAATAGTGGAGGCCAAAAAGCAAGAAAGAAAGGTATGTAAGAACTCTCTCCATATTTAGAGACTAGTCCAAATGCTGATCTTCAACAGTCCTTTTAAAAGTTTCACCAGTTTTCTCTATGAACAAACCTGATTTCTGCAGCAAAAGCTTTCCAAATGCCTCTTATGAGGAGATTCAATTGCATGATATGCCCAAGCTATCATTTAAGAATTAGGATGTTTTTATAACCTCCTTGTGCAAAATGACATGGAATGTTAAAAAGCCTTTGAGAGAAACCAGATCACACTGTGCCCTGGGCTCAAGGTAGTTTCATTCTGTCTAAGTGTGCTAATTAGCTGTAGGACTAGCAAAAACTCAACAAGCCCATGAGAGAGGCAGGCTGTAAAGCAGCATGTGGGTTTAGCTCCAGGAAGGACAACTGTTCTGTTTTTAATGCATTGCATTTGCAAACTTGGATTGATTTTGAAAGTGATGATTGCTTTGAATTGTGTCTGATGTTTGGAGTAATACATTCAAATCTGGCATCTTAGAATGTATGCTTCCAGACAAATACTTAAATGGATATGCAAATAACATCTGCAACTCATTTACAATGCTGTATATATTTAAAACATAAATAAGCTGGCAATTTATTTAGCTACACACACTTTTGAAAGTCCAAATAAATGAATGAATGGTTTTCTTCAAGAGCTAATACAATTGAAATAAAGTTATGAAAGTTTTCAGTATCCTTTTGATTATCATCATCTTCATCTAAACTAAGATCATGACAGGTACATTGCAAGATGTACCCTTATCTGCTGTTAAAAATATCTTCCTCAATAAGTTGCCACATAAGTGATTTGAATTCTAAACTTAAATTGGTTACTCAGATAATTTATTAATTTCAAATTAGCATAATGTCACAAATTGCATCACAAATGTGATTAAAACCAGCATTAAGCAAACATACTAGCAGTCATTTACCAGAAAGCAAGTTATTTTTACTTTCAATAGCACAAATAATATTGCAACCCATCACTGAACAAATCTACAGAGGCAGCCTTAGGCTAAGTCATAGAAGTGCTTCAAGAATTAAGAGAATAGAAACAAACATGAAATGGAGTCAAACTGACAACCCTTCAAGTACCAACAGCTCAACAGTTTTCAAGCAGCTTTGTCAGAGATACTTTCTAAGCTGCTATAATATTCCACGTACCTCAGCCTCATATTTTATTTTCTTCTCTTCTAAAATATGTGCATGTTCTTCCTTTTGATGCTCAAATTCTGATTTCAGAAAAGTATGGTCATAACGAAGTTTGTTATATAGTGTTCTGTATTTTTCTACTTCCTAAGTTAAACCAAAAAAACCAAAATCAATCAATTAAAAGTTTTCAAATTTATTTCCTTTAAATGTCCATGCAATGTTCCTATTGTTTCACAAGGTATCTTTGATGAACTGAATGCCACCTCCTCCCTCTTCCATGATTTCAACCTTCCCTGCCTGGGACAACAGTACCAGACAAATGTCATACTTTGCTCCCCTTTCAGCTTTAACTTCCTAAGGTATTAAGTCAACTATAAAATAGCAATCACTACTGTAAATTAAATAAAATTTCAATACTTATGACTTACATTTTCTAACTTCTGATAACGTTCTCTCATAGGAGACGCCAATTCCTCATACATTTTTGCTTTTAACCGTTCTAAATTTTGAGGAGTGAGCACCTTAAAACAGAAAAGTATCACAAATAATTAGTCATATTCAGTTATTTACACTGTGATAGATCATATAGCTGGGAATAAAGTATTTCAAATATGATGTTAGGAATTCTACTTAATTTTCTACATTTTTCTAAAGAAATTTCAATAGTAGTTACAGAAGCAAATAAAATATTAGTGAACTAAAAATATTCTGGGAATATACCAGAAATATTTGGATAAGCATTTATCAGTAGAAGCAACACAAATTTCAGGCTGAATTGCCAAGAGATTTAAACCCTTTGTGGGAGATGTGGGAAGGAAAAGCAGTCTCATAAAAAAGACAAAGAATTAGCGTCTAACTTAAACAGTAAGTGAACCAACCCAGAAAGATCAAAAATGAGCAACACCAAACAATTATTTGCAAAACACATTGGTGTTCTCCAACGGATACATGGGTACTGGTTTGAATGAAAAAAAAAAAAAAAAATCAGGAAAGATTCCTAGCCTTAAGTTCCATTCTGTATGGTATTTTGTTACAATTTCTTGGTATGGTTCATGCAGCAAACTATCAAGAAACATAGTTTAAAACAAAACAAAAAAAAATCATCCACAACTGTGACATATTCTTATTTCTAAGAATAAGAATATGTCACAGTTTCTACTTTTTTTTCACTTATCTGTTCCCTGAAGTCCCTGGAAACTAGTTCTAGTTATGATACTGAGGTGCATCTTCTCCATTCGGAGTCTGGGAGCCTTTGGTTAGAGATTATATTTGTTTCCTAAGAATATGTTCTGCATTACTTTAAGGAAACAAGCAGCTACATAAAATGTCACCCAAGTTATCTTAAATGTTGAGGAGGTTTTTTTGTTTGATTTTGGTTTGGGATTTTTTAAGAAAAAGAGAGAAGAAAGCTATCATCATGAAAAGAAACAAATATCTATTTTTCTAGTCACTTATCCTAACAGGTTTAAGCAACTAAGTTACCCTCCAAGGCAGGTGATTCTCCCCTTAACAGCAGAGCAAGCACAAATGGAGACTGAGAGTCTTACACAGCACCTAACAACAGGATTTGGATGATTCAGTTAAACAAGGAAGCAGTAATTTCAACCCATAGTCACTCTAGAGAAGAGCCATTACTTGTATTGGGTGAATTTCAAGATATCTGAAATATATCCAAGCTGAGTATATGCATGCTGCATTACCAGAAAAATATACATAGCCCTACTACAGGTTAAAAATACATACTCAGTCCTGCCAGTAAATTATCTCACCTGCAGCTTCAGTTGTTCCAGCTCTTGTGTTTTAGCCAGCAACTGCTCTTGAAAGTCAGCAAGAAGCTGCTGAAATTTGTCATGTACAGTCTGTTTTTCAACTAACAACCGTTTCAGTTCATCTTGTGATTTGGTATAATCCTCTTGTAATCTGAAGGGTAAAATACATACTTACTTTATATTCACCTTTTAAAATTAGACCTTAAGGCTCAAAATACTCACACACAGAAGCAAACATCCAAACACCAAATAAGAATTAAGTTATTAATAGCCTCTTCGTGTAATATAGTGAAAAGTGACCCGATACTTACAAGCATAAAAAGTACTGCAGAAATATCATCTGCAATGTCTTAAGGTACTTTGAATTTTTTATTTTCTAATATGAACAACACTCAAATCTGTCCTTACACAGAGAAATAGCTAACACACATCTCACATATACAAATAAATCCCTTCTGACATTTAGCTTCACCTTTTAACAACTCAAAGAGAGAAACTTATTTAAATTGATGTACCTTAGATGTTCTGCCCTTAGAGTTTGATAATTTGCTTTATGGTGTTCACTTCGCATTTTTTCATCCATCAAAAGTTTTAGTATTTCTTGTGAATTAGCTGCATCACCATTTTCACCCACAGAAGGAAGGAGGTTGCCCAAACCATCCATTTTATGATGGCTGTTCACGATGAATATGGAGAAGACAAGATTAATGTATAACTAATCTACAAGACAATCCACTCCTTCCACTGACATCTCAGAAGATCAAGACACCTGAACAAATACAAGGACATGTAATTAGCATTCAAGTACATTCACAGTTCAAAGGTTTCACACACTGCTTTTGCTTTAAGTGCAGAAGAATCCTGGTTCTGCTGTAACACGGGTTACAAACTTTTACTGAAAGTGCAACTCTTTGTTCATGCAGCCTGCCCTGAGAAGTAATAGCCCTTCTGGGGCATAGAATACACTTAAACATGAAGGTCATTTGAGTCAGTACAAAATAAGAACAAGCACTACTATCTGAAAGATTACATGAAATGTTATTTTTACTTATGCTATACACTGAGACTCCAACTACAATGCCCTAATTATGCCTTTTTAATCAGAGTTCTAGCAGAGGTCACAGCAGACACACAGTTTTTCTTACTCCTTATTCAAGTGAAAGTCTGTCACACTATCCTAACACGTTGAATTAATCAATACACCAGTATTTCAGCTGGAAGAAAAGCAGATAATTCTCTTGAATCCCTATCAAGCCATCTCTGGAGAACAGTTAAGAGTCAGAGACAGCCTGGAATCACCTGCCCACAGTTCAGTCCTGAAATATATCACTTCCTTATTTTCAAAGCTTCTCTTGTGGTTTCTTGAGACCCTTTCAGAAAGACTTTTGCAAAATGTGATATCAGATTAGTGTGAGGAAAGCTGAAAATCAAGAGTTCCTGAGAAATAAGGAAGTATTCTAATATGCCTCAGTAGTACTTTTTGATAGTTGAAGCAACAGGTATTAGCGATCTGATCACTACTGACACTTTTACAGGATCTGGGGGAGGGAGGACTGTAACTGAATTTTAGAGAAGTTAGAAAGCTTTAAAAATAACTACTCTGTCATTTTAGCGTTTTGCATAGCTGGACTGATGCCTAAGAAGTCCATGTCTGCAGTGTGCAAAGTGTAGCTTTGTACGAAGTAAAAATCAAACAGAAACAATGATAAATCTCTATCATCACTACAAATACCACTTGCATGGATGTTTTCTACCACTGCACTCTTTCATGGATGTATCTTAAACACTTACAAATTGATTTTATAAACCCCTGAACTATAAGCAAGATGAAAATCTGTCTTCCATATGGGAAAAAAACACCCATTCCACTAAGATATGATAATGACAAGAAAACGTAAATAAAAGACTTTCTTTCCCATTTTTTCTTCCTTCATTGCTAAAATGAGAAAAGGTTAGAGAAAAATCTACCACTTATAACATTAGTCTAGGCAAAGCAACAACAGCAAGTTTGTATTCTGCTTTACCCAAATTTGCTGAGAGAATGAAGAGAAAGAAATCAGAATAAAGAACATACTCCTCTGCGCCTGTCCTAAATGCACAGCCAGTTTCAAACATTAATGACATGGGTTCTGAAGACCCTTCTAATCAATACAATCTCTTTTTCATCCCTGAATTTTGTTGGCTGTTGAGAAACAAAGGACAACAGCAATTTTCAAACTCAATATAAAGACAATTTCAATTGTTAAACCAACAGCTGGATGAGGAGAACAGGTCAGTGATGCTAAAGACAATAAATCATGTGAGAGGAAAGCTCTGGGACACAGAGAAAATTCAAGGCAGCATGTTCCTAAGAATTTCTAAGCATATCAACAGGATTAACATGGTCACTATTAAAAACAAACAAAAACCCCACAGAAACAAAAAGAACAAACCAACAAACAAAAACAACAACAAAAATACCCCAACAACTAGGCAATAGTACTTTGCTTTCATATGCTATAGATACTAAACATAACTATCAAACTGTAAGCCAAAGCTCAGAATCAGGAACATAGCATTAAAAGTCGGGTCTGAATCCTGCTGCTTACTTGAGTAAGAAATATTCCTGAAGTGGCATAATGGAGATAAAGGCAAAGACACCAAGAAAACACTACATTTTCTGAGAGCACATCAGCCAAAAGATAAGCTGAAACACAGCCTTTTGTACTCTTCCAAGCTGCTGCAGGTGAGAAGTATATTCTCTCCTCACAGCTTTTGCTACCATCAAAAAGTGCACAAATTACAAAGCAAGACACACACCTGGCCACGTATTCATATGCATGAAGATTGCATGGAAAAGATAAAAGGAGAAAAGAGAGGGAGATAATTGCAGCTGACAGAACAATGCTCCAGACTGCAAAAACCTGTTGTATTTAAGGAAACAAAACTCTTTTGGCTTGCAGGGACATCTAGCGGCAAATGACATGATTTGCATTCCTGGCGACAACTGAAACAGACAAGATTTCATTACTTCATGAGAGCTCTTTCCACGAAAACACAGAGAGCAATTTTCAATATTTAACCTATTCACATGCAAAAAAGTTTTTTGCTGCTTTGGGGTTCTTCTCCCCACATCACAAAATAATTTCTGGCAGTAAACTCTCAATAGTCAACAACATTTAGGGATACAAATGCTTCAAGTATATTACCAACAACTCTTCTAATGCTAATGGCTAAGAGTAGTTGATCACAGTCAGTGAACAGGCCTTAAAGAATCTTCAAAATTACACAAAGACTACACCCATAATTTTTGAGAAATACTTTAAAAGAACATTAGGTCCTTCCTGTCTTGGAGATGTGTTCAAGAAGTGGAGAAACATAAAACATACTTTAAAGAAACTGAACCCACCATCACATCTAAGCTTAATTCTACATCTATTGCTAAATTTATCAAGCTACCAAACCGCAAACTTGCATCAGTCACCCCAAATTCATACTATAAATCTTACCATCATTTTCCACAGGTGTAAATATAAAGGCATTGGTACAGAGCCCTGAAACCTAAGAAATGCACACTCTATAGGTAAAATGGCAATACTTACTGTAGAATAGCTAAGTGAAGTAAATAAATCACGTTTCCAAGAATCACCTTTGTTTTGCCTTTCTTCTGCAATTATTTCTCCTCACACTGCTGAATGACCTACTATACATCTCTCCTGTTTATAGCTGCACATCATGAGAGGGCTCTTCTTTTGCAAGATTTTTCAGCTATATTATTTAAACTTTTTCTTCGCTACAAGCTCTTAAAAGTGAGAATACTTGCATTCAGAGAAAAATATGCTATATCAATATGAATTTTTTCTTTATATGAGTTTTTATGGCATTTTGTTTGCAACAGCAAGGCGTCTTTCATATTCACCTGGCATACCAAATTACATGACTGCACCATGTACTGGTAATTCCTCTGAGTGCCATACATAAGTCACTCATGGCTCTCTTTTCTATACCACAGCCACACTTAAAACACTTAAATTTGTTGTGTTTGTGCACAGTTTTGAACAGCTAGATGATACAATGAATATAATCTTGCAACTAACAATAAAAAACTGACAGTATTCAGCCTTGTGCCAGGTTTTGCTCAAGCAGTAAAAATCTCAGTAAAATCTGTGGAAGTCAAAGAGCTTCTTCACACAACTCATGGTCTAATTCCTCTGCCTGCTTCTATCACAACTCCAGACCTCTTTATTTGCTCTTTATTTTTTTCTAATTGAATTAGCCAAGATCTTCTGAAACGAACAATTTGCCTGAAAGAGTGAAAAACTCAAGGAAAGCACAGCCTCATGAAAGCAACCCTTCTCATCCCTGCTCAAAACTCTACACTAAGACCAGATAATGAACTAATGCAAAAGTGTAATCCAACACAAGAGCTCACTGTCCCCAGGAACGGGAGGGTTCCACTCTTTGTTTCTTTATCCCCGTTCCTGTGTTTGTCATTCATCAGACCCCTTCATGAACTGTTTTAACTCAAGAAGCCAACACACTCAAACAAGCAGAAGACACTCAATAGTTTTTCTGTGAGGTCAGTGAGTCACACGAGCTCATGGAAAAATCCAGCAAGCGACATCATCAGTGAAAGTGGGCAGCTGGTACGGACTAGGGGAAAGGAACAAAGAGCCAAGTAAACAGACAGGAGGAGGAGCAAGCCTTTCTCCTTTCAGGAGCAGAGAGCTGGCACAACACAGAGCTCAGATGTTCACAAAAATCACAGCCTTGGACTAGATATCCAGATTTTAGACAGTCACGATTCAGTGAAACAAACCTTATCTTAAGCAAACATGCAACACACTCATAAGAGATCAGACTTCCCATGAGTACCAGGTGTGTAACAAAAAAACTTCAAACTCCCTTCAATGTAATTTGAGAAATGTGACAGCACACAGCATTTTACTTTAAAAGTCCATATTCTACTGATCTGCCATCAGCAACTCGCAACAGTCTAAGCAATCACCTTAAAAAAAAATCTAGGGAAGCAAAACCAAAGAGAAACAGGAAACTTTTGTTATATAAAGTTCCATAACCTAGACACTGCTCAGATGTTACTGCAGAGAATCCAGTGAAAACAAACACTTAACACTTTTGTGCATCTATGTGCAGAAATACTGGAGAATATCTGTATGCCAGCTGCATTAAAGAAGACATCAGCCTCATGCCAGCTACTAGCACTCCCTCCACAACACTGTTCAAGGTAAAAGTTTCAACAACAATTATATTATACTATATTCTATATATTATATATATATATTACTGCAGTGTCCATCCCTACACACGACACATGTTACAACCCTTTCAGTTTCTGTCTTTTACTACAGATCCAATGACTTACTAGGTGAAAAACAACAACCAAGGTTCTCTCTTAATTCAGGGTTAAAATTTGTGGTTTAGCCACATACACTACCAAGTCAAACTGACAGTAGTTACGGATCAAACTAAATTTTGAATGAGAGCTACAGCTAGTAAATTGAGCTGTACTCAGGAGTAGCCAGTCTACACACGCCATGTATGTTTTCCACTGTTTTTTCATGGCAAGAAACCTTCAAATACACATAAATTTTCGCTCACTAAAATCCCATTCAAAGTTCTACTCAGGCATACAAATGGATGCTTTTTACAAACACAGCTATAGTCCACAACCAAAATTCTTCTGAGAAATCACTTCCCTTTCACAATGACTCAAAAATCGAGATGTTCAGGGAAGGCACAGGTTTACACTGGCATACATATCCCACACCTCCCGTAGGCAGAAACGTGATTTTATATACGCTCTACAGTATGTGGATGAAGATCGAGTGAGAGGCCAAGCAAGCTGCTTAAGTCATCATGACCTTTTTACTGTTAAATTTTTTGACTTATGCACATAGGAGCTTGGTGAGAGGAACAAAAGTAACACGGCTGACACATATCCAGAAGCACAGAAAACCAGTAATTTCCCTCATAGCGAACGTGACTGAGGATCGCTGGAGGAAAGCAGAGAAGACAAGCGTACAAACATTTGAAAGCCCGCAGTGAGGGGGCTCCTCCTGCCCCTTAACTGTGCCAGGCGATGCCGAACCCAGCAGGCCACAGAGGCCGCAGCAGCTGCTCCCGGAGGCGGAGCAGCGGGCACAGCGGAGCGCTGGGCTCCCCCGTCCCGACTGCGCGGTGAACAACGGCCCGGGCCCGGGCAAAGGCCCGAGCAAAGGCCAAGGGGCGTCCCCGCCCCGTTCGCCAAGAGGTGCAGCCCCACGCACGCAGAAAGGCCGCGGTCAGCCCAGCCCCCATCACATCCCGGCCCCGCTCACAGCCCGGCTCCCCCCTTACAGCCTGGTCCTCCGCACACCCCGGCTCCCCCTCGCACAGCGGAACCCCCGCCCACAGCCCAGACAGGCGTGGCTGCCGCTGGCCCGAGCGATTTAAAAATGGCGCCTCTCACCTCCCGCCGGCGGTGAGGCCCGCCGGGGTCGGCGGCGCGCGGGGCACGCTGGGAGCGTTGCCGGGGAGACGGGCGGGATCCGTAA